GTAGCAGTAGCAGGAGTAGTAATAGTAATAACAGCAGTGAGTCTTGTGGTTATTAGGCCAACCTGAATCTCGCATCATCTCGGGCGTCTGCTGCATCCCAAGCGCGATGCCCCAAAAGATGGCCAGGGGAAGTAGCAAGCCCAAGGGCATCCTCGGGGTCTGTTTCGGGGTCCATCGGGGTTCTTCAAGGTTTCGCGTTCAGGAACTCAGCTTACGGTTTCAAGCCGCAGGTCATCTTTGCGGTCTGTTTGGGGTTGATAAGCGCTTTATTCATCATCCCTGGTGTCTGGTTGAAGATGTATCATCTACGCGGAAGAAGGCTCACGGGCGTTCGTCCAAGGTTCTGGGTGTTAGGGTAGCAAGTAGAGGTCATGCCGGGTTGCAACACAAGGTTAACAACTTGCAAGGGCTGCCCTGGGTTTTACACGGGCTGTAGCGAGGCTCAGGGAATTTGTTGTAGAGCGCACCAGGGCGTGATATTCTGTTTAGTTTCAGCTACTAAAAGAGGCACTTAGAGCAACTTATAGTGAGCATGCCGCCTTGATTGCATTCAACGACTTTCCTGAAATAGAGCCCAGATTCATGATGGTGGGATTCCCGATGTGCAGGGCCTTGATGAAGTAAAGGGCAATGCCGATGAAAGCGGCTGTGAAGAACTGCCTTGGGTCAAAGTCGCAGAACTTGATGGCGTAGTAGAAGACCTTATAGCCGACACAAGCAAGAAAGGCCTCGGAGATGCTATAGGGCATGTAGCTGACATATCTGGTGAGCTTCAGCTTCCCAAGTAGAGTCCAAATGGTGGCCAGCAGCAAGGTGGAGAAGGCCACTGCGAAGATGGTGGTGGCTCGAAGCTGTGCATGGTAGGACTCACACTCCTGAGGAAAAGCCAGAAGATGGTCGCCCTTGCAAAAGTACTTCGTGGGGTCCTCCTTCTTGAGCCGTCTCCCACCCGAGCTGGAATAGATCTCCGAACCTTCAAGGGCTAGGCTTCTGGCCAGCTCGTTTGAAATGGTGATGACCCAATCTCCATAGAAAACTGCCGGGTTGAGATCTGTCCCGCCAATGGCCACCGGAATGCCAGAGAAGACAGACCTGGTGATTCCGGATGGCATCTTTTGAGCTTCTTCGGTCACGTTATTGTTAACTTGTTTCATGCTCTATATCGACAGTCACTACCATCCTCTTCATGACGGCGACTCTACTTGTACTGCGTCTATGTGCGCGTATTGGGCGGGCGGGTAGGTGGATGGGTAGGTGGATGGGTGGGTGGGGTGGGTGGGGTGGGTGGGTGGGGTGGGGTGAAGTGGGTATTTGCGCAATATTGGTACATATATGTACACAAGAAATATATATATATATATATATGGGGGAGGGGGGTGCATCTATATTCTTGAAGGCTTTAGGAAGGTC